ACAGAGCTTGAGGCTTTTCTTTTTTATCAGATCAGAAACACAAAAGCACGAAACACATGCAAATTTAGAACCGTACATTTACACTTTCCCTTTCCCCCACGCACACCCACACAGAACACTTTACACACACACTCATGGCTATTAAATATATTTGTATCACATACATGCTTTTTATTTTAATTCAATCAATGGCTATTGACGTATTACTATTTATATTGTTCTATTATTTTCAAATACAAAAATAAAACATGCATATGTGGAAACAGACTTAGGCTTCAGAAGGATGTTGTTGCTCCTCTCCTGGAATCTGTCCTTACTCTTCTTAATGAGCCTTTAGTGTCTCACGTTCAAAAAAAGGTATATTTCTGCCCCCTAGTGGACATCAAAGTTAACATCAGTGTGGCCCTTTGTAATGGGTGAGGAATCCATTGAGCGGACAAAAAGCGAGCAATATGTTTTGAAAAAGTACATTTTTATTAACAGAGAATATTCCTAAAGATAAACTCGGCTGGGATGGATGTTGGAGGAAAAACTACTCCTACATCGACTTTGTTTCAAACGCTCATTTCTATCAATGTTTTTATTTATGTTATTAATATAATGTAGTTCCAGAGGTCTAACTTTTGTCTTTCTTACATCAAATGTTTTAAACTCTGGTGCAGAAAGGGGAATATTTATATGGCATTACTGTATTTTTTGTATAGTCTTTATGAATAAAACAGATACAGAACCATAAAAACATATTTTTGAACTGGCTTATATCATCCTTGTAACAAAAACATGTGCCCACACTGCAGCTGCAGGATCTAAGTCAACCCTCAGTCTTTCAAAATGCTGTGTTTGCTTGTTTAAAGAAAATAAATCTAAAATATAAAGTATTTTGTTTGTTTTAATTGAACTGAAAAAGATAAATATTGCTAAGTTTGGTTATGTAGATTGATATTATAACTATAAAATGTTTACACAGTGGTTGGTTTCAACAAAACCTAGAAAGATGAGAATTCTTCAGATCATGCATTTCTTTTCAGTATCACAAGTATCTTGGTAATCAGCATTATCAAGCACTGTGATTGTTGGTGAAGTGACTTTAAAACATAAAAATTAATCCTATCTGTGTTACTTTAACGATTCCCTTATCGATTCATCGAGATGTTTGTTAAATAAGTAATATGAACTTACTTCATGTAGATAGATGTGTACGTTTAGATACAGTTTAAATTATATTAAAACATGTCACTGACCGAGTCGTTAAGAAAGCTCGTCAGCGTCTCTACTTTCTGCGTAAACTTAGAGAATTTACCACTAACTCTAAGATTCTGCTTAACTTTTATCGCTGCACCATTGAGAGTTTACTTGTTGGTTCTGTGTCTGTGTGGTTTGGAAACATCACAGATAAAGAAAAGAGAGCTTTAAACAAGGTGCTCCGCTCTGCAAAGAGGGCCGTGGGCTGTGAGCTTCCTGTTCTGGAGGTTCTTAATAAATCCAGACTTTTAAACAAAGCTCTTAGGATTGTCAATGACTCTTCTGGCCACCCTGGGAAAGCCATGTTCCAGCTTCTTCCTTCTCGCAGAAGATAATGCTCTCTGAGATGCAGGACATCTCGTTACGCTAACAGTTTTTATCCACAAGCTGTTATCAGTGTGAACAGAGCACTTTAATGATTTGCACTTGTTTCGAAACTGTTTTAGTCGATCGATTTCACAGTGACATTTGTTTACTGTTTTATTTGTTTTATTTCTGTCTTTTAATGTTGTTTTATGTCTGTATTTGTCTGTGCACACTGGAGACTTTTTGCTAATGTATTCCAATGTGTTTTTTTTTTTACTGCAAATAGCAAATAAACTGAATCTGAATCTGAATCTGAAAATTTGTTTGCTCAAATGAACTCAACATTCCCTTCATTAAAGTTTATTTCTCTGCTTGTCACATGTGGCCAAAGCACACGGTCTGTGTGGTATCAGGGGTCACTGCTGTCTGGCTCACACGGCTTGTGGCATCTGGTCGGCCATTTGTCATTCTTTATATAAATATGAACAAATGTAAGGCTTCTGCTTCTGTTGTCCGTTGTGTTGTTTGGCATCCGTTAGATTTTATGGTATCTATGTGTTTTTCATGACATCTGCTCAGGCATTGTTCTTGGTGCTTGTCTGGTATCAGCTGTTTCAGTGCAGGTGCAAGACAACAATGTAAGGTGAGGGGAGGATGAACACATGAATGAGTCCACAAGACGATTTACCTGCATTTGGTTTGAACACATGGTATAACCCTCCTCCTCCACTCTGTCTCTCCACTGTCACACACTGCTCTGGTCACTTCTGTCTTGCATCTGGTCTGGCATTTGTCATTACTTGTAAAATCTGGTCTTTCATCTGGTCTATTTGTGGCCTTTGGTCTATTTGTGGCATCTGGTCTGGCATCTTTCATTTTCCCCCAACATTTAGTCCCGGCATGTTATGTGTCCTATGAATGAGACCAAAATACAACAAAGAAGAGCAGGAACATAAAAAAACTGCCCATGTGATTTACCAGTATGTGATATGAACACATGGTTGATCCATCCTCCTCCACTCCGTCTCTTCACTGTCTCACATGGTTCTGGTCACTTATGTCTGTCTCATAGCTGCTTTGTGGTATCTGACTGATCATTTCTATTTTTTTCATAAACATCTGGTTGCTTCTGAACTGTTGTATGTTTTGATGTTTTTGTGACACCTGGTCGCTGCTGTCCGCCCTGAAGAAGACGACAATGCATTGAAGTTGGAGGAAGGACACATGAAATGTTCATTTGATGATTTACATGTATTTGATGTGAACACATGGTATTACTGTCCACTGTCTGCACTCTTATGTTTCAGAGGGAGACCAGAGAAACACTAGAGAGACCAGAGGGACCAGAGAGACACCAGAGAGACACCAGAGAGACACCAGAGAGACACCAGAGAGACCAGAGACCAGAGGGAGATACCTAATTTTCAAACCACAGCATTGTAACTAAGTCATTAAATCTAAAATAGCTTAGTTTTCACATACGACACGGCGGCTGAGTGGAGAGCTCTATTGCTTCTCAGCAATAAGATCTTAGGTTGAATTCCTGGACGGAACGGCGTTTCTGAGTGGAGTTTGCATGTTCTCCCCGTGTCTGCATAGGTTACCTCCTGGTGCTTCGGTTTCCGCGACGACTAAAAACATACACAATAGGTATGAATGTAACGAGTGAGTGAACAATATCTGAATTCTGAACATTGTAAAGCACTTTGAGTGAAAAAAATGCGCTTTATGAATAAAGTTCTTACTATGAAATGCATGCATTTTTGGCCTCTGTCACATCTTTAGATATGCTATTTCAGACAGAAAAGTATAAAAGAGGACCACCCTCTCTCAATCATCAGTTTTCAGCCCAAAGTGTCTAAATGTGACTCACTGGGCTCTTTCTGACCCTAAAGATATCATGTTTTCTACAAACATGGAGACAGCAGGTTGTGGTCTAATTCGTTCAAATTTTATTGTTACAAGGTTCTTTCCATGCGACAAACTACATGGAAGAAAAAAGTCTGGATACCCCAGCTTTAAATAGGATTGGTGAATGTTCAAGTAGTACTGTGCAGCTTCCACCACTGAGAGGCGCTGTTGGTCTTGTGTCGTGCTAATGGTATTTTAGATTGGCTGGCAAACGGAAAGCTATGATGATACAGAATCACTTTCATATCCTGCATGGTTGAAAAAATTTGGCTTATTTGTAAATCATGGTATTTCAACGGATGTGATGACAACCGGACATTGTTCCTCATCAAAAACTGACCTAGACTGAGAGAGAGAGAGAGAGAGAGACCAGATGGATAGACCAGAGGTAGACCAACATCTAGAAACCAGTTCAGTCCAATTGATTCTTGTATAGCCCTAAATCACAACAGTAGTTATCTCAGGGGACTTTACAAAAACACAGATCAGAGAATCAAGCAGTTCAGACACAAGAAATGCAATGATAAAAAAAACACATGGAGCCATTGGTCCAGAAGGAGATGACTAATGCCCATAAATGTTGATAAATAAGTGTTGTTGTATGTTGAGTGTCCTGGATCATCACTGCTGTGGGATGCAGATAGACAAGACCAGGGGTGTCAAAACTTTATAGTGAGAGGGCCACTTTAAAAAACCAAGCTAAACGACAAGAGAGAGACCAGAGAGAGACCGGAGAGGCAGCTACTATACATGCTCATACTGTTTTTCATGCACTATGCCTAATTAAAAGGACCCAGCAGTATTGTACAGGCATCTTGTTTTGATACAATTGGAGATTATGACGTGCATAAATAACAAGTGGCTCAGTTGGTAGAGCATTGAACCTAGTAGTCGTGGGTTGAAACCCCTCACGACCCATGTCTTCTTCACTGATGTCTGCTGTCATTGTGTCCCTGAGCAAGACACTTGACCCCACTTTGCCTGAAGCCCCCACTGAAACACCAGTGTCTTTGCTGATGGAGCAGCATCTTCCCTTGGACCACCACCTGCAGGCGGATTAGTGAGGGACTGGCAGCTCTGATTCCCAACCCAGAAATGGACTAATAAAGGAGATGAAAATAAATAAATTATGAAATATGCATGGTTTATCGTTTTTCAACTAAAACGCTGGTTCTAATTACAAATGTTCTTGAACCTCTCTCCCTCTAGTATCTCTCTGGTCACTCTCTCAGATCTCTATTGTGTCTCTCTGGTGTCTCTCTGGTCTCATTCTGGTCTCTCTGCTCTCTATCTTGTCCCTCTCTCAGGTCTCTCTTTAATAAAATGTGTAACATGTTCTATAGAAGCCGGGCCTGTCCTCTCTGCGTCTTTGGGCTGTGGCCACGTCTCGTATTGTCCCATTGTTTTTTTGAGCATGGAGAGAAGTGAGTCATTAGCTCCGTGGTTTTTCCAAACTTCCACAAAGACGGGAAAGGGAAGTGCGGAGCAGAACCGGACGCCGTTAATGAGACCACAACAATGAGAGCGAAAAAACACCACCGTTACCGTGGTGATGGAACCAGATCCCTGCCATGACCTTCCAGCCCTGGAAACACACACAACACACAGTGATAATGAGACCAGAACATGCTGATATTAATTAAATATTCTGTGTTGTCAACAGCTGACTCTCTCTCTCTCACTGGTCTCTTTCTGGTCTCTCTCTGGTCTCTTTCTGGTATCCCTGATCTCTCTCCATCCTTTCTCTGGTCTCTTTCGGGTCTTTCTCTGGTCACTCTCTAGTCTCTCTCTCTTGTCTCTCTTTATGGTCTCTGTCTTGTCTCTCTCTGTTCCCTATCTGGTCCCACTGCGGTCTCTCTCCGGTCTCTCTCTGGTTCCTCTCTGGTCCCTCTCTGGTCTCAATTTGGTCTCTCCCTTTTAAAAGATGAATTTCATGAGAGAAGTCATTGATGTTGAGAAAAATGCCAGGAGTTTGGTGCATTGAGTGGAGGAGTGGAGGAAGAGGGAGTGATCTCTGAGAGAGAGGAGGAAAAACACGGATTAACCTCTGACACAGGCCTGAGACAGAAGACAGAGAGACGTCCTCATTATAACTAAATCTTCTGGAGAAGAGGAGGTGCCTGGTGCGGACAGGACACCTCTGCACCAGCCTCAGCTCAACAGGAAAGTTTCCTGATGCACACACAATTTAAGAATTATTTAGAAATATTTAAAAAGCACAAAATACAGAATTTATATTTGACCAACAACATGGACTTAAAGGGTAGCAACATGCTATGTTTCCCTTGTCATATACTTGTCATAAAAGCTCGGAATCTAATCCACCTTGCGATCTAGTCTTTTTGCCAAAGGCATATTCAATAGTTTTCATTTAGCCATTAATAAAACCACTGATAGTTCGACAGTCTGGTTACACAGTAAGTTTACCTGTGGCACAGGGGAAGAAAGTGCGTCCACACGCACTGGATGCACATTCACTAAGTTTCAGCCGCGTGAGTTTAGAAAATCTGAAGTACTGCCCTGCGATGGTGCGGAAGTGGCAGGCAGACTTTGATGCCAACAGGGTTAAGCTAGCGACTTTTTGTGCAAAGTTCTTCTCCAAAAATGCAGCTCGGCAGCGTCTCAATGTCCTAAAGACCTGCTTTCGCCGCATGCATCGAGTCACCATACCCACTGCCTCTGCCGCGCCGCAACTCCACGTCTGCTGCACAGAACACTTCACAAAAGTCACACAAGGGACAAACAACACGCCACCCTTACCCACTATTTTCCCGGGTTGACAACATTTCTGTTAGGGTTATCTGTTATTGAACTGATCCTCTCGCTGCTTCTCACATATTTCACGTTTGTCTTGTCGACCTCAAATACTGACATTTTCTCCATTAACCTCACTCTTCCTCTCCCCCTCCCTCCTCATCATCTTGTCCTCTTCCTCCCTTCTCTCAGCCTCCTCTCTCCTCTCTCTCACTTTGTCCACCTCTACCTCTATGACCTCCCTCTTTATCCTCTCCTCTTCGTCCTCTCTTTCTCCCCCCTCTCTCACCCTTCCCTCCCCTCTCTCCATCCCTCTCTTCCCTCCTCCCTTAACTCTAGTTCTCTCTCACTCCTCTCTTTCTCCTCCTTCCCCCTCCTTCCTTTTCCTCCTCTCCCCTCTCTCTCCTCGTCCTCCTCTTTCTTCTACTCTCCCTCCTCCCCCTCGATTAAAACTACTCTCTCCTTTCTCCTTCCCTCTCCCTCCTCGTTCTCCTCTATCTCCTCCCTCCCCTCTCTCCTGCCTTCGGACCCAGATAAGCCCTTGTGAGATGTGGCTCGAGTCCTGGCTCTGGACTGGTCCTGGATCTGGTCTCGGCTCAACAGTCTCTGCCCATACATGGTCATAACTGACACTGAGGTCGTTCAACATACTGTTTCAAATAAAGAGTCTTCGGAAGTGAGAAAGAAAATTGCTATATTTGATAATGCAGCAAGAATGATACAGTTGTTGATGTCTGTAAACAGGCGTGGTAAACCAGGAACGTTGGCAGAGTTGAGCCGGGTAATTTCTGCAGCTTCCAGAATGAATTGCAGGGTTACGCAACCAATTTGTGTTTTTTGTGACTGCATCTGACAGATTTATGAACAGTTATGAACGAAAGCAAATGGAAACTTGATATGACTGATACAATGCACAAGATAATATACTGTATATGCATAATTACTACATAAAGACAATGTGGATCAGATGTTGTACATTTGTCAAGTTGTGCTCAAAGGTTTTTTTCAGAATATGACAATGAGTTTTATCCTGTGCAAAAACTGGCCCTACTCAACTCAACTCTGCACTTTGTTATCTAGTGCGTTTCCATTACGCTTTAGCATGTGTTACCATATCCTATCAACTAACCCACTATAAACCAGTATCTATGGAAATACCTTGGTTGTATGGCTTCCATAGCAGCACAATGGTCAATCGGCCTGGATAGAACCAGTGCCAAGAGGGGCTAAAGAAAGACCTGGCACTGGTTAAACAGAGCTGGTGGAAACGCTCCCAATTGGGATAGAGTATTGTAGAGTAGAGTAAAGCCATGTAGTAGAGCTGGTCGAAAAAAGTATTATCTGATCTTCACCACACAAAAAAACTAAAGCGCACTAAAACAATGCATCCATTAATATATTATTGTCTTTTTTGACGGAATTATTTTTGATGAATTTTGTAATATTGTTTGCTCTGTCCCAGCTCCCATCGATCGTTCTATCAACAAAACAGCATTACAGTATCTCCGCTTCTCAGACCTGACTGGTTTGTCCCGGTGGTGGACCAGGCTAGTTGGTTCTGAGGAGGGATCTGCTTCTTACTTACTGACTTAGAGGAATCCATCATCTCCAAACGGGGCAGGAGTGCTGACCTCTGACCCCGGGAAGTGCCTCTGAAGAGCGGCAGTAACTCAAGAGTACAAGAGAGAAAACTCGCTCTTTCTGTAAGCAGCTGACCGCTCTCATCAGGAATGCTCAACGTCAGACCTGAGGAAGACCTGGTTTAGTCCTTCTTTCAAACTTTAAAGCTGGGGTATGTAACTTTGAAACCACAATCTTACTATGTGATAATATCCATGTCACATTTGATTATATCACTCGGTTCATATGTGTTTCTGGCCTCTGTCATTCAGCCAATCAGCTCTCAGCCCAAAGAGGCGAGTAATGACTCACAGAACTCTTTCTTACACAAAAGATAAACATGTTTTCTAATGAGGTGCAGACAGCATCGTCTAATTTGTTCACAAAATTATAAATTGTGTTGCAGAAAAATATCCTCGCAATATCAATTCAGTGCCACCACATCCCCCTACCCCAGCCGTTCAAATCTCCCCACCTGGGAGCCCCTTCAGTCCTGGCTCTACAGCCCTTTCAGTCCTGGATCTACAGTCTCAGTCCTGGATAGAGCTGTTTTCTGCCTTGGGTAACTTTGTCAAATTAATATTTCAAATGAATCGATCGAGCCAAATATCTTTTCTGGTTTCAGGTGATGTTTACTGCTGCAGAACGTGTCTCTGTCACGTTGTGCTGTAAGGTTGTCTGTGCATTTTGTAAAAAACAAATTAACTCATGTATGAAATGAAGTCAAACTCGCTTTGCTCTTTCTGTCAACACATTGCAGCTTTCAAAATAAAACACCACACCACTTAGAGATGTTTTGTACATATATGTATGATAATATGTGGAGCGTGTTGCTGCTTAAACCCGTCTTCACATGGACTAGAAGCATGGATCTATTATAATTACTGGATAGGTCATCACTAGCTTGCAGTATTCTCGCAGTACTGCAGACTAAAGGAGACCAAATTTATGTGGGCTACCCAGAAATTTTCCCCATAGAACTCAATGTAAACTAAAACAGCTCGACCTCAGCTGACAGAAAACCTACAACTTTCACAAATATTTTCTTTTTCTTTAAATCCACACTTTAGTGCCACAAACTCTGTTCGTTTGGCTCACGCTCTAACTTCGCTCTGATCACCAGCTCCGCACACGCACGTGCATGAGAGCCACACACGGGTGTTTGGTGCAACGCATCATGGGAGGTCGTTCATTACGCAGAACCGAGAGGACCAGACGATGCCCAAATATGGGCGAGTTCCAGTAATCTTTCGGTCCCTGTGGTGGCACATGCCCCACTGCGCACACGCCATTGATATGAATAGGATACCATCTTGGATCGCCCGGGCTTGACTCGAAGCCATAAACACGTCTTGACATGGACGAGAGGCCACCCATGGTACGGCAGACGGGCTCTACACGGGCTTTTCTGAGACTTCCCCATAGAACTCAGTGTTCACTAAAACAGCATCAGCATTGCTCTGATTGGTCAGAAGGCTCACATGTCCTGCTTTGATTGATTGGAATCCCAATGTTACTGTACAAGACCAGGAAAACCAGAGCTGGCCAGAACACGTCACTTCTGCTCATGTTTGGGATGTCCATGGTGCGAGCATGAACCAATGGGGCTTGGTTTTCTATCACTTTTTTATATCTACAGTGCAAAAAAAGTGAATATTTTGAGTGACTTACAATCACTGTTTGTTCTGCAGAGTGGCTGGGCGCTCCAGTCACTCGAGAGGAGCCGAGGTGGATGAGTTCCTACACAATCTTGTTAAACTACGAATGCAATTTAAGTGGTTTAATTCTATCTCTGCATGTACATGGAATAGTTTTTCTTCAATAATCATATTTGCACCCAGACAAATGTGATAAACAACAACTGGGGGAAGACTCGACCTTTTGCGGCCCTCAGCTGAATTGAGTTTGAAACCCCTGCTCTGGAATCATTTATAGACTGGTTTAACCAAACCATCGGTCAGACACACAACTGTACACTATTTGTTTTGTAATTTTAGCTGTTCTTGTGCTCAGCCTCTCAGCCTGTAGTCATCCGTCCGCAGCTGCTGATATCAATGTACTTTTGACATTATTAAATTTGGATCTGCTCACTCTAACACACACAGTCTTATCACTGAGCTCACGCTGCAGACGACTGAAGACATTATCTGGGATCCAAAATACACTCGAGAGCTTAGACCTGTAGAAAGAGATGAAAAACAAAGAGGTTTGGAGTGAATACTTTTCAATATTAATAATAATAATAATGTTTTTGTTTTATACAGCTCTTTTCTGGACACTCAAAGACGCCTCACAGCTTTATTTTTCACTCCATATGGTGAAAAATACTACTGTAGCCACAGCTGCCCCAGGGAACACTGACAGAAGTGTGCCAGTATGTGCCATCGGCCCTTCCTACCCCCATCAACCATTCGCACACACCAGACTCATTCTAATGTGGGTGAAGTGTCTTGCCTAAGGACACAACAACAGTTTGGCACTTTAAAGCTGCCCCACTGTGCCACCTGGTGTTGCCTGAGGTTTCCCATCATAGTATAAACCAGGACCTGCCCTGCTTAGTGTCGCAGGTATAAAAAGATCTGGCTTTTACATGCAGTCATGTGACAGAGGTCAAAAACACATGCATCGATAGAGGTAAACTGTTTTGAGAGCGAGGTACTTGTGCCATAGATTTTAATGGTGCTTTGAAAGTTACGGCCCCCAGCTTTAACCTGCTGGTGTCCTGGTTTGCCCTGCGTGTTTGTCACTGGGCTGGAGCTGATTACAGGAGGTCCCCCGCGCTACAGCTGCTTCTCATTTATTCTAACTTTGGATGAAACCGGCTGCGATTTTCCGAAAGCTTTACAATGAGTTTTGATCCATCGGGAAACTCCAGCGGGCGCCCTCACGGAGCCTCGTGCTGCTTCTGCTCGACTGAACGACTGGGACTTAAGCAAAAGTTCAGTTTGTTTAAAACTGGAACTCAGAGAGCAGTCATTTTGATGGCTCCAATTCAAATCAATGACATTCAAAAAATTCTCCAAGTAATTTATAAGGGGTTAACTGAAATACCACAAAAACAGTTTGTTGAAAGGCTAACGCTGCAAGCAAACAGTGTATCTGAATCCTGTATCCTAAATCCTATCCTATCCTATCCTGTATCTGCTGGGCTAGGAGGCTGTCACCTCCTTCAAAGGAGGACGTTGTTTTGTCCGGTTACATTTTATTCACAACGTGGCCTTTTGTACAAGGCAAGTTAACCCCCTTGTTTAAATTATATTTCTTTTTGCATGAGTTCTGTTGCTCTTTCTTTGCTCATTTATTTGTGTTTTCATCGTTTGATTTGCCCCGTCTTTGATTTGCTTTATATGCTCATTATATCCGTTATGTTTAAGACTTGCAGCTTTGTTTAATTCTAACTTTTCTACTTTTTATCATTGTTGACTGAATACAAGATCATTGTTTTGTAATCTCCCTCTCTTTATTGTCCCACACCTAGAGCGGCCTTACATTCCTAAATACATATTTTGATTGGTATTGGTCCAAAGGCCATATTCCTTGGGTGGCGTTGTTATCCTTAACATTTGTTTCCTGCTACCGCTCATGTCCCAATGACATAGAAATAAACTACAAAAAGAAATACACGTACCGCTAAAATGCTGGGTTGTGCAGTAGACTCTTTTGTGGTCTTCCTCACCGTCTGGTAACAGCAGACTTTTGGGCAAGAAAAATATCATAAATTCAAGTTTCTGGAGAATTTGAAATAGTTGGTCACATTGGTTTGATAGAATATGGACAGAACTTTTAGAAGGTTTTTAGGCCCTTAGCCCCATTTCCACCAGCTCCACTAGTCCCTTCTCAACTCTTCCCTACTCTACTCTGGTTTAACTGGTACCAGGTCCTTGTAAAGTTCCTCTTGGCCCTGGCTCTATCCAGGCTGAGCTGGTACTTAAGTGTTCTAATTGATAGTAATTGGAGTACTGTTGAAAGCCATGGTTACTTAGGTATTTGCATGTATACTGGTTTGTTCTGAGTAGGTTTTTAGGATATCATAGTAGATACTAAAGCGTACTGGACCATCAACCTGGTAGAGTAGAGTAGGTCCAAATAGGAGACCGCACACACACACACACACATAGCAGCTGGTTTCACACCTGGCAAACCGTGGGTCAGTACATATGGTCGTGTACATAAACTAAAAATGTTTAAGACGGAAGCAGGATTTGAGCCGCCTTTAGCTCAGAACACAGTACACACTACCAACTGAGCTACTGCCTCCAAGTACAGTAACATGTATTTGACAATAAATAGTTTTTTGTTATGTTTTACTTCCTGTCCTGTTCCCCAGTTTAACCAGTGTCTCTCTGTGCCTGTATGTACCTGTGCTCATCCCCATTTGTTACTGGTCCATTGTCAATGTCTGTCACTGTATGATTGTTTACATGTGTCGCTCATATATCATGTTCTGCGCTTGTTACAGGAAGCAGGAGGTTTCCTTTGGCGTAAACATTTGAACGCTTCTCCTCCCGCTCCTCTTGGGCTCCAGACGCAACTGGAAAAAAACATATCCATGGCCAAAAGGACTCACACACGGAAATATCCCTCCCCAGGGAGGCTTCAGTAAATCTAAACAGAGCAGGTTTGAGCAGAAATGAAGGACTGGTCTGGAGCTAGGACCCGTCAGATACATCCCAGCATGAGAGAGCCATACAGAGCCTGACCGGTGAACCCTGCTGTTACAATAATCACTTACTGTTTGATTATGGAGCATTGTATTGTTTGGGAAAGTCTTTGTTATTATTAGTTCGAAAGTGCCTTGCTCGCTCCAGGAGGGGTCCTTCCCAGTTGGAATAGACTGACCGAGTGTGACATCACCATAGTGTTAGCCTGATAGTCAATACCTCCTCCTGAAGACCAAGTGCTGAAGCTATCTCCAGAGAGTGTGAGAAGATCTCTGAGCAGGATCAACGTACGCAAAGCACCGGGTCCAGACAACATACCAGGTCGTGTACTGAAAGGTTGCGCTGATGAACTCACTGAAGTCTTCACAGACATTTTTAACACATCTCTGCAGCAGGCTGTGGTCCCAACGTCCACCATCATTCCGGTGCCAAAGAAGTCACCACCATCCGGCTTTAATGACTACAGCCCAGTAGCACTCACTCCAATTCTTATGAAGTGTTTCGAGCGGCTCGTCATGGAACATATCAAATCTGTTCTCCCTCCCGCCCTGGACCCATACCAGTTTGCTTATCGGTCCAATCGCTCAACTGAAGATGCCATCTCCACTGCGCTTCATTCAGTCCTCACTCGAAAAGCACGGGTCCAGCTTGCTCCTCTAACAATCAACGGTGCTGCAGTGGAGAGAACCTCTCCTGGACCATGCACACTACATCACTGGTCAAGAAAAGTAATCAGCGTCTCTACTTTCTCCGCAAGTTAAAAAGAGCTAGAGTCCTAGCCACCGTTATGTGCAACTTCTACAGAGGGACTGTAGAGAGCATCCTGACCAGCTCCATCACTGGGTGGCACGGCACCAGCACTGCCTCCTGCCGAAGGAGCCTCCAGCGCACCGTGAGAGCAGCAGAGAAGATCTGTGGAGCCCCTCTCCCCACCATTAAGGACATGTACTCCACCCGTCTCACCCGCAAAGCCGTCAGAATCACCAGGGACCCTACGCACCCATCACACAGGCTCTTCAGGGTAATGCCTTCAGGGAGGAGACTGCAGAATTTACGGAACAGTTCCAGTCGACTTAAAAACAGTTTCATTCACAAGGCCATCAGGAAGCTGAACTCCCTGCCCTCCCTCCCACCCCTCTTCCCCAACCCCCCGCTCCACAATCAAGGATGAGAGAAATATAATTTCAAACCATTCACTTGGTTTGACAAATAACAAATCTTGAAATCTTGATTTGAGCATAAGCTAGCTGGAGCAAATTTCATTATATGGGCATTTGTTCCATGGCATTAGCTTTGTGCCAACAGGAGTAGACCATGATATTAGGTGGAGGGATTTGCTGCCGTCTCCACTTGAACGAGAGGCCATCTGCGTTACTGCAGTCTGAATCCACATGGGCTGTGAGGAAATTTCCCCTTAGACCTCAGTGTTTACTGAAACGGCTCGTCCTCAGCTGACAGGGAAATACAGCTTTCACAGACGAGGATTTTGTGGGGATTTTAGTGTCTCTTATTCTGGATTGTGTTACAAAACTGCATAATTGACACAAATGTGGTGCCACCTGTAGGTGAAAGCCATATCCAGTCAGACCTCTGAAGCTAAGCAAGACAGGGCCTGGTTAGTGCTGTGATGGAAGACCTCTGGGAACATCAGGTGCGACATTGGGGCGGCTGCAGCTGTAAAGTGTCCTTTGGTTGTGTCCTTTGGTAAAACACTTGACCCACATTAGAATGATTCTGGTATGTCTGTGAATGGTTGGCGGTGGTGGGAGGGGCAAACATGTGCTGTGTCCTCGCTTCTGTCTGTGTGCCCCAGGGCACCTGTGGCAACAGTTGTAGTGTATCACACCATGTGGAGTGAATGAAAATCATATGCCATGAAACGTGGCAAATATCACACCATTTTAAATCCAGGTCCAAGTCCAGTCAAAACAGTTTTATATTCTGGGTTGTCAGCACCTGGACAAATCTGATTAACCAAAGTGGCCGTCTCGTCAAACACATTAGGACACCCCTTGTTCTTGGCCTTAAAATGCTGGTTTTCTGTTTGTTTTATTATGTTTTTGGCACAATGTGGAAGGACAGGGAAATCTCAAGGCAGGGATTTCCACCACCCCTGGAGGACATCTCACACAGCCCCCTCCTTCAAGACCAGTCCGGATACAGATCTTTCCGACGCTCCTCTCGTACAGTGAAGGACTCATTTTATCATTTTCCCCGCAGCAGCAGAGTGCAGAGTGGTGTTGGCAGCACGACCGGACAGATTCCTGACGTCTGAGCTCATCCTGGCATCTACAGCACCTCCACACTCACATTCTGATCAAACATGGCCTTGTTTCAACCGGACCCAAGCTTTTATGTGCAGTGTCATTCCCTTCTCCCCCACCAGAGAGAGACCACAGAGACTAGAGTGAGACCAAAGAGGGACCTGATAGACCCCAGAGAGATACCAGAGAGGGACCAGAGAAAGAGACCAGAGGGACACCAGAGAGAGACCACAGAGACTAGAGTGAGACCAAAGAGGGACCTGATAGACCCCAGAGAGATACCAGAGAGGGACCAGAGAAAGAGACCAGAGGGACACCAGAGAGAGACCAGAGAGAGACTCAAGAGAGACCAGAGATAAATCAGAGAGAGACATGAGAGGGACCAGAGAGAGTGACCGGAAAAAAAACAGAGAGAGACTAGAAAGACCAGAGATAGACCAGAGAGAGAGAGACTAGAGACCAGAGATAGAGAGACCAGCGAGAGGGACCAGGGAAAGTGATCAGGGAGAGACATGAGGGGGACCAGAGAGAGACTAGAAAGAGAGACCAGACAAATACCAGAGAGAGAGACTAGAGAGACAGACCTGAGAGAGAGGGCATACAAAGACCAGGGAAAGGGATCAGAAAGAGAGGCCAGACAAAGACAGTAGAAGTGGTAGTAGTGGTAGCAGCATAGGGAGTTACAGGCACAGTCACAAGCAAGTCACAGGACAGCATCTTTTACCATTCATATTTATTTCACCATTTATTCTCCTGAAGATATGAGTTCACATTCTATAAGACATAACTAAACCAAAACTCTCTCTATCAGTCTTTTCAGTCACACAGTCACTTATGGCTGAAAATAAAGTGTGATATTGCTGCCATGTATTGAAAACCATTGAGTTGTGGGAAAGAGAGGATCCCCAACGGACTGCGCTTTTTTCAGACCAAAAATGTGAGTGTTTAATCTTCAGAAAGTCTCCCTGGACACTTGTGTGTAAAGTTGTGAAGTGTTTTAACAGAGAGAGCCCCCTTCCTGGAGAATAGTGAACTTTTACATAAAAACTTGTTAGATTGGAGACAAGTGCTGTTTAGGGTCTAAAAATAAAAAGTTTTGTCCCGTCCGGTCAGACGTGCCGCTGGCTGTGTGTCTATAAAAGGACATGAGCCGCAGCAGAAGAGAATTGTTTAAATAAATCAGCCACACGCGTCATTTGTCAAGCTCAGTTTTCATATAGGTCGAGAGGAGCGAGTGGACAGGACTGTGGGAGGCTGTGGAACTATTCAGAGATTCTCATACTGTAAGCTTGGCAAGCACTGGGGGAAGTGAGAGACAGAGAAAGTGACCAGAGAGCCACCAGAGAGGGACCAGGGAGAGAGCCGGGAGAGAGAGAGACTAGAGAGAGACCTGGGAGGTCTAGGTAAACCTAGGTCTAGGAGACCTAGGTTTGATCCTCCGTCTGCCTATAAGCTCCTCTCTCAGTCCCGGACCAGTATGATGTATCACCATGACATCACACAAAGATCATTTTTTATGTCTTTAAAACAAACATATTGCACATAAATTAGTTTTGGTAAAGTAAAGTCCTGGCAGTGTGCCTGTTCCCCTGAAATTCGCCTTTATGTCAAAAAACACAGATTGTCTGTCTTTATTTGCTGTAGGAGAAAGGTAACAGGTAGGCAATCTTCTCCTCTCCCCTACTTCAGCTGTAGTCTGTTATTCACAAGCTTTATTTACATTGTCTGTTTCATGGCACGATGATGGGACCCCAAGATCAGGCTTCTTTAATCTGCAACTGAGAACTGTTCGCATCTTTCTCCCCGCCTGGAGCCTCTTCAGTCCCACACCTCCCAGCTTCAGTCCCGCACCTCGCAGCTTCAGTCCCACACCTTGCAGCTTCAGTCCCACACCTCCCAGCTTCAGTCCCGCACCTCGCAGCTTCAGTCCCACACCTCCCAGCTTCAGTCCCGCACCTCGCAGCTTCAGTCCCACACCTTGCAGCTTCAGTCCCACACCTCGCAGCTTCAGTCCCACACCTCCCAGCTTCAGTCCCGCACCTCCCAGCTTCAGTCCCGCACCTCGCAGCTTCAGTCCCACACCTCGCAGCTTCAGTCCCGCACCTTGCAGCTTCAGTCCCACACCTCGCAGCTTCAGTCCCGCACCTTGCAGCTTCAGTCCCACACCTCCCAGCTTCAGTCCCGCACCTCGCAGCTTCAGTCCCACACCTTGCAGCTTCAGTCCCACACCTCGCAGCTTCAGTCCCACACCTTGCAGCTTCAGTCCCACACCTCGCAGCTTCAGTCCCACACCTCCCAGCTTCAGTCCCGCACCTCGCAGCTTCAGTCCCACACCTCGCAGCTTCAGTCCCACACCTCGCAGCTTCAGTCCCGCACCTCGCAGCTTCAGTCCCACACCTCGCAGCTTCAGTCCCACACCTCGCAGCTTCAGTCCCACACCTCCCAGCTTCAGTCCCGCACCTCCCAGCTTCAGTCCCGCACCTCGCAGCTTCAGTCCCACACCTCGCAGCTTCAGTCCCGCACCTCCCAGCTTCAGTCCCGCACCTCGCAGCTTCAGTCCCACACCTCCCAGCTTCAGTCCCGCACCTCGCAGCTTCAGTCCCACACCTCCCAGCTTCAGTCCCGCACCTCGCAGCTTCAGTCCCACACCTCCCAGCTTCAGTCCCGCACCTCGCAGCTTCAGTCCCACACCTTGCAGCTTCAGTCCCACACCTCCCAGCTTCAGTCCCGCACCTCGCAGCTTCAGTCCCACACCTCGCAGCTTCAGTCCCGCACCTTGCAGCTTCAGTCCCACACCTCGCAGCTTCAGTCCCACACCTCGCAGCTTCAGTCCCACACCTTGCAGCTTCAGTCCCACACCTCCCAGCTTCAGTCCCGCACCTCCCAGCTTCAGTCCCGCACCTCGCAGCTTCAGTCCCACACCTCCCAGCTTCAGTCCCGCACCTCGCAGCTTCAGTCCCACACCTCGCAGCTTCAGTCCCGCACCTTGCAGCTTCAGTCCCACACCTCCCAGCTTCAGTCCCACACCTCCCAGCTTCAGTCCCGCACCTCGCAGCTTCAGTCCCACACCTCGCAGCTTCAGTCCCGCACCTCGCAGCTTCAGTCCCACACCTCGCAGCTTCAGTCCCGCACCTCCCAGCTTCAGTCCCACACCTCGCAGCTTCAGTCCCGCACCTCGCAGCTTCAGTCCCGCACCTCGCAGCTTCAGTCCCACACCTCGCAGCTTCAGTCCCGCACCTCGCAGCTTCAGTCCCGCACCTCGCAGCTTCAGTCCTGGATCTACAGCTTCAGTCCTGCGTCAACAGGATCAGTCCTTGATCTACAGCCCTTTCCGCCTAGGAGCCGTCTCAGTCCTGCATTGTGGGAGGACTGAGACTGAGGTTTATACTTTTTCCCACCGGGTTTTTAGAGTTGTTTCTTACCAATTCAGGAGGGTCTAAGGACAGTGGTGGATGACCCAGGACACTTGACGATCAATGACATTTATGGACATTTATTAAGATTTATGGAGATTGGTCGTCTGCCGCATTTCCTGAGTGAACTGTTTGATCCTCTTCTTTATACAACTTTGTAAAGTCCGCCAAGATAACTACTATTGTGATCTAGGCCAATACGAAAATATGTTGAATTTAATTGTGTTGAATTGCCAAGCTCATTTGTGGCTGTCAAATGACAACCAAGTTTCTGTACGTAATAACAGGTAAACACTCTATGAATCAGAATAGGTTGGATTTTGGGTGTGTAACATGTGAAAGGCAGGAAAACAGAAGAGAATGAGCATCTCTGGTGTAAATCTCCTGCCAACACGCCTACATTTCGTTACGCAGGTCACTTGTTGTGCATTGGGGGTGAGCACTAATGTCCAGCAGACATCACAGCTGTTCTCCTCCAACCAGTTACTATACACCAAATTATGAGAGATGTTCTTCAGATAAACATGAATCCAAATAGGCTCCAGTCCAATAATTAGTCCAAACACTTGTACATTCCACACAGTTCATGTTTAAGAGTTCTTATCTGGCGCCCCTCTGCGAATGCTTTCCTCTGTCTGAGGCATTAAGCGCACATTAGGAGTGGGCTGACAGAGTGTGACATCACCATAATGTTAGCCTTAATGCAGAAGTTGATTTAAAGCTGGAGCCAATTTCCTTATTGGGGCATTTCTTCCGCTCTGTCAGGTTTGTGCTGTAACATGGACTGTTGTGTTGCTAAGGTGGAAGCTGGAGTTTCCCCTGCACCTGAAGGCATCTAATTGGTCAATCCTTATCTGTCCATATCTTTATCTCCCTCTGGTCTCTCTCTTTCTATGTTCTCTCTTTGGTATCTGGTTTTTGTTTGGTCTCCCTCTCTCTCTCTCTGGTCTCCGCTCTTTCTTTCTCTGATCTCTCTGGTGAGCTCTCTTTCTTATGTCTCTCACTGGTCTTTTTCTGGTCCTTCTCTGGTCTCTTCCTGATCTCTGTCTTTCTCTCTCTGGCCTCTCTCTCTCGTTCTATTTTCTCTTTTTGCTCTCTTTACTCTTTATCTGGTCACTCTCTCTCTAATCTCTATCTGATCTCTCTCTGATCTCTCTCCGGTCTCTTCCTGGTCTCTTTCTTGTCTCTCTCTGGTAACTCTCAGGTCTCTGGTCTCTCCCTGATCTCTCTCTTTCTATGTCCCCCTTTTGGTCTCTTCACTCTCTCTCTGATCTCTCTCTGGTCTTTCACTGGTCTCTTGTCTCTCTCTGATCTCTCTGGTCTCCGCTCTCTTTCGTATGTCTCTCACCGGTCTTTTTCTGGTCTGGTCCTTCTCTTGTCTCTCCCTGATCTCTCTCATGTCTCTCTCTGGCATCTCTCTCTAGTCTCTCTCTCTTCCTCTGTTTCTCTTTGGTCTCTGTATCGTGTCTCTCTCTCTCTCTCTCGGATCTTTCTCTGGTCATTCTCAAGTGTCTATCTGGTCCGCTCTCTCTGTTCTCCCTGGTCTCTCTGCTGTATCAATATGGGAGACATCTTGTAAACTCTTGTATTTTCCACCGCTGCTCCGTCTGTGTGACCTGCAGCGTGTGGTCAGCTCCACTCCTCTGCTTCTGGAATGTTCCTCCCACAGACGGACACACCTTTCTAAACTTCTAACTTTCCCCACTCCTTGCTACCCCCAACAGACACGCCTTTATCCCAACTCTCCCCATCACTCCCAATGAAACTCACCACAATATTTCATTTAGTTCTGCCTATAATATCTCTCTCTCTGGTCTCTTTCTGATCTCTCTCCCTGATTTAATGTGTGAGAGGAGCCAGGAACATGGCTCTCTGGATTGACACACACACACACACACACACACACACACACACACACACACACACACACACACACACACACACACACACACACACACATACACGTTTTTGTTACCTGGTGGGTCCCTTTGACAGGGCCGTTCAGAATGGGACCCATAGACATAATCTTTTTTTACTGGGACTACTTTAAGTAATACAAAACAGTCAATAGAAACCAAACAACTATTTTAAAGGAATTTTATTTTAGATTTTGTTTTCGAATTGCAGTGATTCTATTTTTGACATAGAATTTAATGCCACTCCATGTCCGATGTCTAAGGTCATCTGGTGAGGCATTAATGCAGGCCAGGCAGTGAGACTTCCCAGGGACCTTTCCAGTCTGTATGAAAGGTGCCATGGTCTTCTCCACAGCCTTCACCTCAGATGCAGACCATGGCTTTCTTACACGTTCTAGGGAGAGAAATAAAAATATATTAGCAATATACACTCCCAGGGTTAGGACCAAGCAGCCTGGCTGTAATCCCCCACCTGGTACACTTACCAGAAGGGGCACTGCCACTACCATGGGGTGCATCTGGATGAATGGTTGAAGGTTCTCCGCTTGAAGTTTCTTTTAGCCCGTCCGTTTGTGAGAGGATCTCTACTGCTCTGCCTGTCGCACAGAAAATAAAAATACAAGTGGCCTTTAGGGGAAAAAAATCATACATATTTTAATAATATCAAGAATTACCTTCAGGCTCAATTTGTATCTGGTCGAGGCTCTTTCCTTCGAATTCCGTCACTCTTCCCTGCTCCATGGCCATCAACACTTTGCTGATTTTGGCCAGCTCCAGTGTCCCCTCTGGTAGTCTGTAATATTGCCTGTGGATGCGAATGTCATGGCCGAGGAAGTTGGCAAGTATGTCCATCTCATTCTCTTTCATATTGAGAACTGTAGACATAGTAGCTATGTGCTTTCTAAGTTTGGTTGAGGATAGCATCTCTGGATGCACCGCACCACATTCTTTGGCTACCTGGCGTAGGGAGTCTGATCCCCTGATGTGGGTGTCTGCGCCCGGGCGGGAAAAGAAGTATGGGTTATGGTCAGAGATGGAACAGGCCCTTCTGTTCTCCACCAGCACCTCCATCGAAGCAATCATTTCAGGAGTCAAAAGAACCGGAACTTTCCGACTTCTTTTCCCTTTAATTTCAATGCGTTGAAAATGCTGACACAGCTTTTTCTCAAGTTGGGACAGTCCCAGAGCAATGTCAGAATGGATCCCAGTCTTACTTCTTAAGGTAAAGGCTGTCAGTGGCATCTTTGAAACCTCACCTTCCCTTCTTCGATTGAAAATGATGACCTCACAAAGAGTCAAAACTGCCAGTTTAGACCAATGCTTAGACGTTGGCTCACTTATTAGGGTTTGCACATATTCAGGTCGACATACCTCAATATGTGCATGCATGGCTCTAACGTCCTCAGTCAGAGGGAGCAGGTCCGGAGTGTTCCACTTGGCTTGCCGGAGGGTCTGTAGGGCAGCAGAAGAAACACAGACGTCCCACCTCTTCTCAAAAAGCAGCCGGCTTCGTTGGAGGTTTTTAATAAATAGTTCATCAACACAATGCTCCATTTTTGAGTCACATTCAAGAATATCTGCTAGCTTTCTGAGGCTATGGCCGAGTTTGAGGGCCAAGGATGGAGTCTTGTATTGATTTGTTTCCTCATCATATCCAGCCACAGACCTGACTGCATCAATCACATGGTTAAAGTTGGAAGGAATAAAGAAATCCTTAATTGTTTTCAGTTTCCCTGCGGTTTTTGCTTCGTTAATTAACCTACCGACTTCTCTCATTTTCTGCCTAATGTAATCATGCTTAGTCTTATCATGCCCGTGTTTTAAGTACAGGTGCTCTCCGAGTCTCAGAATCCCCTTTTCTGCTTTGACAACACCCGTGACCTCATCCTGATGCATTGCCCAAATTAAAGACCACAGCTTTTTGCTGATGCCCTCCGGTACAGGCTGGGCTAGGGAGCAGAGGGACTGGACCCTACTTCTACCTGGTTTAGCCTGGGCATCTTTCTGTGAAAGCCGGCACCTGGCCACATGCCTCCACAGCGACTTTCGCTTAAGCAATGCCCCACAGTCTATACAGTGCAAAAACTCACTGGATTTAACTGGGCAATTTGGCTGTTTAGCTGGGACTAAAGTTCCAATGCCGGCCTTTAAAATCTCAAAATTGTGCTCACGGTTTCCACTATTCCTGATCAAATCAAACTGAAGTTTACGTGCTTTAGATTTCACAGGTAGAGCCAATGCTCTGGCTACGTCACTTTCATTTCCATGTTTTCTAGTCAAATGACGGGACATTTTGTGGCAGGACATTGAACAGTAGAGGCAGAAGTGTCTCTTGCTGTAAACTCGCCCCCCATTTTTCTTCTTTTGCAGCTGCATGATAACAATCTTATTTGCCTTTGGTTCGTCACTTTCCGAGTCTTGAAGAAAAGTGTTTTTGATTTTTCTTTTTCCATACTTTTTTACAGGTTTCTTCTTGACAGTTAAATCGTCAGAATCTGAGTCGACTTCATCAATTAGGGACTCTTGACTAAGCTGCACAAACAACAAATAATTTGTAATCATTCTATATAACAATTTGAAGTCATGACTTGTAGTCAGCACTTACCAGTGGTTTGTAAGCGTGCGCTTCAGTGTGCTCCTCCATGATTTCTTGCAGCCTAATGAACCACACACTTGCACCTTTTTCTAGCCTGACACCTGATTTCCTCTGTTGTGCTGCTCCATGATTGGCTCCAGCCTGCTGGACTGAAATTGCCCCAGTGTGCCCCTCCTTGATATCCCGCAACCCACCACCAGGGTTCCGACACATAACACACTTTTTTCAGGAAAGTAAACCTCCAGGGGTCCTTTCCATATTTTTACAGAGACTGCATAAGGACCGTTAGAAAAGCATTACCCATTGATTATTAAGCTTGGACCAGTGGGGTCCGGTGTTCGGGCCCCACCACGTAAAACCAGTCCCCATGACGTGAGTGGAATCTCAGGTTATGGAACCCACCAGGAGTTGAAAACAAGTGCACACACACACACACACACACACACACACACACACCGTTTATCAGACCCACCTGCTCAGCACAGGCTCTGTATGTGTGCTTTTAATGCCTTTCGCTGATAAAGTGCATATTTGGACTTGTATTTAATCTTTTCCAATAAGGCTTTACATTCCATATACTTAAGTATAAGGAGTGGACTGAGCGAGTGTGACTGGCCAGAAAGACCAGAGAGAGGCAAAGAGAGAGACTAGAGAGAGACCAGAGAGAGACCCGAGAGAGATTAGAGAGAGAATAGAGAGAGAGGCCAGAGAGAGACCAGAGAGAGAGAGAGACCAGAGAGAGACCAGAGAGAGATTAGAGAGAGACCAGAGAGAGACTAGAGAGCGATCAGAGGGAGACCAGAGAGAGAGACCAGAAAGAGACTGGAGAGAGACCAGAGAGAGACTAGAGAGCGACCAGAGGGAGACCAGAGAGAGAGACCAGAGAGAGACCCGAGAGAGAACAGAGAGAGATCGGAGACAGTTTAGCCCATTCATCACCATCCCTGTTTCATGTGTCACCTCTCTAGATTTTATAATAGTTTATTCTCTCCCAGTCTCTCCTTTGAATATAATCCTTAAAACGTGTCTTAAAATTGCTCTAACAGTCTTCTGCTGCTTTCATGGTTGCTCCTGTAAACATTTAGAACTGGGCCCGTTGCCGCAGCGACGATTATGGCTTTAGTTGAGTCACCAGTGATTCTCTCTGGAGGAGTTTCTCTGAAAGTTTGGAAAATCTGTGAGTCACTGCTGCACACAGGCCTTTCATTACAACCACAGCACCAAACTGTACTACTGGCACTGCTACTACTTTTACTGCTGCTGCTGCTGCTACTGCTGCCTCTACTAATGCTGCTAATGCTACTGCTGCTGCTTCTATTACTGCCACTACTACTTCTGCATCCTTCTCATGTTTATCTGCGAGGCCATAGAGAGAGAGGTCAGAGAGAGACCAGAGAGAGACCAAAGACCAGAGAGAGACCAGAGAGAGACCAGATAGACACCAGAGAGATAACAGAGAGAGAGAGAGAAACCAGAGAGAGAGACCAGAGACCAGAGAGAGAAGAGACCTGAGAGAGAGGCCCGAAAGAGATCCGAAAGAGAGACCAGAGAGAGAAACTAGAGAGACACAGAGAGAGACCAGAGAGAGAAACTAGAGAGACACAGAGAGAGACCAGAGAGAGAAACTAGAGAGAGACCAGAGAGAGAGACCAGAGAGAGACCAGAGAAAGACCAGAGAGACCAAAGACCAGAGAGAGACCAGAGAGAGAAACTAGAGAGAGACCAGATAGACACCAGAGAGATAACAGAGAGAGAGAGAGACCAGAAACCAGAGAGAGAGAGACCTGAGAGAGAGGCCCAAAAGAGATCCGAAATAGAGATCAGAGAGAGAAACTATAGAGACACAGAGAGAGACCAGAGAGAGACCAGAGAGAGAAACTAGAGAGAGACCAGAGAGATAACAGAGAGAGAGAGGCCCAAAAGAGATCCGAAAGAGAGACCAGAGAGAGAAACTAGAGAGAGACCAGAGAGACAACAGAGAGAGAGAGAGCAAGAGACCAGAGAGAGAGACCAGAGAGAGAGAGGCCCGAAAGAGATCCGAAAGAGAGACCAGAGAGAGAAACTAGAGAGACACAGAGAGAGACCAGAGAGAAACCTAAGAGAGAAACTAGAGAGACACAGAAAGAGACCAGAGAGAGACCAGAGAGAAACCTAAGAGAGAAACTAGAGAGACACAGAAAGAGACCAGAGAGAGACCAAAGAAACTAGAGAGACACAGAGAGAGACCAGAGAAACTAGAGAGACACAGAGAGAGACCAGAGAGAGACCAGAGAAACTAGAGAGACACAGAGAGAGACCAGAGAGAGACCAGAGAAACTAGAGAGACACAGAGAGAGATCAGAGAGAGACCAGAGAGAGACCAGAGAGAGACCAGAGAGAGACCAGAGAGACCTGCTCCTCATGTGTGGCGCAGCTGCTGAGCACAGAGAAAATCTTCTAAGTCTCCACAAAGACAGAAGTCTGCTGTCGATCAGTTCCACATTCTTCACAGAGATAAGTAGCTCATGGAAAAAAGTAACCAAATATTTTATTAAATGTTACTTTTTAGATATCAAGACTCATATACACTTGACTTTAGCCCCTTCTCTCCCGCGCTACTCTATTCTACTCTGCTCCAAAGAAAGGAGAGACCAGAGAGAGACTGAGGACTGAACAGAAGTCAAATCTGTGATGCAAATTCATCCACTCAATCTGAAAGGAAAAAATATGGAAATCAGAGAAGTTGCTTTTTGGCAGCGTCAGTACTCGATGTGAGAGCACCGACACTGAGCACACTAAAGTACTCTCATTTATAATACGCAGTTTGGAAAAGTACTTCTACAACTATAGAGAGTATATTAGGAGAGAACTGATCGAGTGCTGACATCATCATAATGTTAGCCTTAACCGATTAGAGCTAACTCAAACAGGCTA